GCTCCTTAGAGATTGCTTCCTGTTGCTGTTTTGAAGGGATAAAAGCAAATCTAATAAGCATCTTTTGCAAGCGTCTAAAGTTGCTGGTGTCACATGAGCTCAATCTTCTGAGCTACACAGATCAGATCGCCAGGATTTGATCATGTGTGCCAGCTTCACCACACAAACCTTACCACAGTGCCATGGTTCAGGACAGGTTCTGAGCAGGTTCCACCAAGTGAGTGGTGTTTCTCTGAAATGAAGGAAAATTATTTGATATTCACAAGGGCATAGAGTGATAGGACAAGGGAAACAACTGTAAGCTGAAGGAGGGCAGTGTTAGACTGGATATTCAGAATAAATTATTTACTAGAATGGTAGTGAGGCCCTGGCACAGGCTGCCCAAGAAGCTGTGGCTGCCCCATTCCAGGGAGTGTCCAAGGCCAGGCTGGATGGGTCTTGGAGCAGCCTGGGACAATGGAAGGTGTCCTTGGCCATTGCAGGGGGTGGAACTGGATGGACTTTAAGGTCCCTTGACCATTCTGTTTCTTTGTTTACTTGAGGTTTATAAAATATAGAGCTCCTATCTGGTAGAGAATGACCAGATACAGAATGAATATCCTGACATTTGTAAAAAGTAGATATTCGGACACGGAAATTAGTAAATTTGTAACTGGAATTGTGCTGATTACCCCAGTGCTGGTGGAGATAGCTTTTGTGAGTGTTCACAGCAACATTTTATCTTGGATTGAAGACACAAACGAATGTTCTCAGAGTGTTTGTTTTTCCAAGCTACAAAACAGAATATGTATTGATGCCACTTTGCCTGTCACACTGTATTTATTAATTTCTATAAAAGAAGGAACAAAAATGTTCCCTCCTCAAATTAGTTTAGCATTTTCAGGCTCTGATGAAATATCGGAGGCTGAAAATATGTATTATATGTATTATATGGATATATGTAACTGTGTGCTGCTGTGTTTTTCTATACTGTGGCACTGGACTGCACTTAATGGTAATACAAGAAAATAGTTCCTGAGCTGTGGCCCCAAGCTGAATCCACCACCTCTCTAACACCTACCAGAAAAAAGGAAAACACACTGGAGTTTGCAGCAGGCAAGCAGGTCACATGTTATCAGCTGTGAACCATCTTTACACGAGCACACAAGCATGGCAGAGCTCTGTGCCACTGATAGCCCAGCAGAGTCACTGGAAGAGCCAAAATGGAGCTGGGCATGGGCATACAGCGTGTCCTTGGCAGAAAGGACTCTCCAGGTCCCTGCATGCAGTATTCCCTGGTACAGGACCAGGTTGGTTTCTTCCACACTGGGGAGCATCACTCCTCCCTGCTGAGAAAAGCCATACTTTATTCCCATGTCTATCATAGAATCACAGAATGGTTTGGATTGGCAGCAACCTTAAAGCCCATCTTGTTCCACTCTCTGCCTTGAGTGCTGTGTCCAGTTCTGGGCCCCCAATTTAGGAAGGACATGGAGGGACTGGAGTGTGTCCAGAAAAGGGCAACAAGGCTGGTGAGGTGTCTGGAACACAAGTCCTGTGAGGAGCAGTTGAGAGAGCTGGGGTTGTTCATCCTGGATAAGAGGACGCTTAAGGCAGATTCATCACTCTCTACAACTCCCTGGCAGGAGGGTTTAGCCAGGTGGGGGCTGGGCTCTTCTCCCAGGCAATCAGGAGGATAAGAGGACACAGCCTTATGCTGCACCAGGGGAAGTCTAGGCCTAACATGAGGAAAAGATTCTTCACATAAAGAGTGGTTTGGCATTGGAAAGGGCTGCCCAGGAAGGTGGTGGAGTGTCTTGGTTTGAAAAGACAGGAGTCTGTGAAGGAAGGCAAGAGCCTCCTGTGAAATGGAAAAGGTAAACCCCCTCCCTCCGAATTACCACAATTTCAAAATTAAAAGGCTCTCAGGCAAAGATATGGGAAGGGGAATAACAGTTCTTTACTAAGGAAAAAAAATAATAAAAAAAATGTAATTAGTACAATCAAAACTACTGATAGAGTGAGAAACCTGACACCCTGAGGAGTCAGGGTGTTGGTAGTAGTCCAGTGAAATGGTGGCTGCTCCTCCTGGAGTGGCAGATGAAATGCTGCTGAAGGGTGAAATCTTTAGAAGGGTGTAGTTTTCTCTGAAGGTCTGGTGATGGAGTAGATGGGCCTGGTCTTCCTCTGGGGATCCAGCAGAGAAGAAGCTGCTCCTCTGGAATCCAGCAACGAGGCTGCCCTGATGTCCCAAAAAGTGCTGATTTTATGCAGGTAGGGGTGCTTGCCTCCTCCCTCTGGGTGGAGCATCTCACAATGGGATGATGTAACCTTACCAGTCATGCAGTGAGTCATTCCATGGCTTATTAACAGAAGATATCTCCCTGGAGGGAGGCACTGTTCTTGGAAGGGATAAGAAAACTGCCCAACCTCCAACAGATGGCAATAGAATACATGCTTATCTTACAAGCCAGGACATCGAGTCACCATCCTTGGAGATGTTTAAGAAAAGACTGGACATGCCACTCGGTGCCACGGTATGGTTGACAAAGTGGTGCTAGGTCATAGGCTGGACTAGGTCATCTCAAAGGTATTTGCAACCTAGTTAATACTGTGATACTGTGAGTGAAACCTATAGCTGGGAGAGGAGGGAAAGGAAAAGTCAGGGGGCAAAGTGAAGCCATCTCCCTGGGCCAGCAGCACACCACTGATCCAGTAACAGCAAGAGATCTGACAACCCAACAGATCATTCCATGTCACTTCTAAAGGTCACATTTTTCTTTCAGCAATCTAATTGCTGAGCTTTTAGCTATCACACCTGTGCATGTGTAATCTGATTAAACAGAAGCTGAGGATGAGAGCTACTATTCTCCTTTTCAAGAGTTACAGAATAAGCAAAAGGGTTCTTAAGGGTTAAGGCTCTGAGCAGTCTAGGCAAACCCAAGAGTCACTGCCTGGGTCTGAGGGGCTGATGCTCAGCTGAGCCAGCCTCAGCTCCTGAGGCTCAGGGAAGAAGGGGATGGCAGCAGGGCCAGCCAGGAGAGGAGAGAGGGGATCAGCTTGCTGCTGGAGGGCTGGAAAGCTGCCATAGCTGGGCTGGGATCTGGGAGTATGTCCTTGTTTGGGTGGGCAGTGAGGGGCAGGCAGTCCCCTGCAGCCATCCAGGCAGATTTGCTGGGGACTGTCACTTCAGTAGTCTTGTGCCCTTGGCATGCCTGGGGGCAGCTCTAATAACTAGGATTAAAAGAAAGCAGTGTCAGGTAGTTTAGTGAAATCCAACAGTTAAATAATCCCTAAGAAAAAGCAGTAAGTGTCTGGCTGAGGCCGTATGGCTTCTCCTGATGCTGAAGATGAAACCAGAGGCCTTAAAAATTATGAAAGCACTCACCTGCAACTAGGGAGGTGAGTGATGTTCTGGGGTGTCACACCACAGGGCTGCCTGCAGTGTTTGAGGACATGTGGAGCAAAACCAGTGCTGTTGGATTATACATTCCCTTACAAAGCAAATCTGAATGCTGCCATGATGTGAGTGCGCTGCTTAATTTGCTTCAGTGAGGAAAGATTTGACTTGAATTGTGTAACAGCAGCTGCAGGGGTAATGGCTTACAGAAAAACTACTTCTCTGTCTTTGATATTCCTCTGATTTCACTGGACTTGACTGGAGCAGCTACAGTTTCTTGTTGACTTTAATTAGATTGATTAATATTTGGCATTACCGCAAATACAAAGCTAATTTATAAGATGCAGCATTTTCAAAAATGCTGGGGTTTAGCTATAATGTGACCAAGCATTGCTTTTTGAATGTGGTTTAGTAGTAGGGATGGAAATAGCAGACCCTTATATCTGCAATATTCCTGAGGCCTCCCTGACAGATAAGTTCATAGGAAAGTGCTATGGCCAGCAGCATACTGAGCATTGTCACCCTTTAATGTGGGCATGATCCTGTTCCATTTGATGTTTCCAGAAGAGCTTTAAGAGGTTTTTCAGTCTATTTGGTGCACCTTGAAAATTAATTTATCTAATCTGCTCCTGCAGACTATTTTTTCCCTCTAATTCCAGATGAAAAAAATAACAAGTGGAGAGAGCGTTAATAGCTGCAGTGCTTGGTGTGGGCCTCAGACTATAGACTCAGCACCAACACACAGAGCTTCCTCAGCAGAGACAGTTGTTTCTTCTCTTGTTTTTTTGTGGACTCACAGTGCAGACCATTAAAGGCCTTTTTTGGATCCACTGCTGGTGTCAGTAAATCAAGGATCTCAACAAACACTGCTGAGACCCAGACTCACTGTGGTAACGCTGCAAGGGCAGTAAATGGCAAGGGGTGACATGGCCAGGATGTGACAAGCACAAAAGGACATACGCAGCGTGTGCAAGGCACTTGGGTTTCACCAAGTAGCCTGTGCGTGTTTGTGTGTGCCACCCAGCTCCGGACAGGATGATGGATCTGGGAACCTACTAGTGGGTTTAGCTGCAGATCCCAGCTAAAACAAACACTATTTTGTAGACCATAAACTGGATGTATGCGAGAGATTCTGCTCCTGGAATACAACAACATAAAGAGCAGTATACTGTGTTTGCAAGATCAGAACCATGAGAATCAGACTGGGGTACCTGAGGCTCTGCAGGCTGCGACCACCAGCCGGGCTGCATTGGGGACTGACGGCAGACAGCAGAGAGGACAGGCAGCGGGACAGGCGGCGGGCAGGGCGGGCAGCGAGGGCCAGGCAGTCCCGGCCCAGCGCCGCGACCGCTGCCGCATCCCCGACTGGCCCCTCGTGGGGCGCCGCGCGGGCCGGGGAAGGGCCCGGCCAAACCCCGAGGCGGTCAGGGCTCGGCGCCATCCCGGGCCCCGAGGCTCTGGCGGCGGCCCGGCCGCGCCGGCCTCCTCTGGCTCCGCTGCCCCTCCTCCCCCACGCCGCGGGCGTCGCGGAGGGGCCGCAGGGCGGGCGCCCGGCGGGGCTCCGCGGGATGGGCCGTGCTGCGCTGCTGCCCCCGGGCCGGCCCCGGCAGAGGGCGGGCGGGTACGGGTGCGGTGCACCTGCCGGGCGGCTCGGCGCAGCGGGGCCCGGCGGGGCTCGGCGGAGCCATGCCGGCCGCCACCACACCCGGGCTGGACGCGCTGCGCTCCTCTGCGCTAGGGAGGGACAGCGGCGGTCCCCGCGGATACACAGGTACGAGCGTGGTCCCGCGTCATTCCTCGCACAAGTTCCCTCCTGCGTCGCAGCAGAGGGGCGGGAAGATGCCAGCGGTGGTAGCGCTAGACCCCGGTCAGGGTGCAGGGTCCCTCCCGCGTAGAGATGCGGGATGACCGGGGCAGGATGCGGTACCCCTGGACAGAGGTGTTGTTTGTCCCCGGGAAAGGGCGCGGGAGCCCCCAGCCGGTGTTGCGTTACCTTCCCACTCCGTTCCGGAGCCCCGCGCCGGACAGGGCCCCTCTCGTCCCACCCCGTGCCGCCTCTGGCTGGTCCCTGCAGCCGCGGTGCGCGGAGGGGACGGTGATCCGCGCCATGAAGTTCTCGGGCTCACAGAGTCTCGAGACGAGTGTCCGGGAGCCGTCCCGAAGCCACCCCGGGCACGAGAGGGTCCCGGCGGGTCCCGGTGACCCTGGGACAGCTCTCCCGGGGCTGCACTCGGGGCGCCGAGCGGGGCCAGCCCGGGACTGCGGGTCAGGCGGAAGGGACGAGCACCGCCAGGGCTGCGCACGGCAGCCGCACTCCAGAGCCGTCCGAGCGGCTCACCCGGGGGCTGCTGGGGCCCTGGCGGGGGGTGATTGCACCCAGAGAGGAGGCGCTGCGGCTCAGTGATAGAAGTTTGGGGGTCAGTCGCTGGGATGGCCACAAGCACAGGAGACGAGTGCGTGGGGGCAGAGGGGAGTGTCTAGCAAGGATGGAAGGTGCTGATTTTCAGAGACATCGCTCCTGGGCGCATATCGCCGGGCTGGGAAGGAAATTAAGACATCAGTGTTTTAATGGAATATGGTAATACATTGAGGGGTGCAATCAGAAACCAATCAAAGCTTTTTCCTTCTTATCTTTTTCTTCCCTGGAGTTTGGTTACTCAGTTCGATTGCATAGACCATAACATCCTTTCAAAACCTCTTTGGCTTAAGTGGGTTCTATAATTTGGAGGTAATGTGAGATGACAGAGGGGCTGAACTGGTGGGAGATACCCGCTGCACAGGGCTGTGGCGTTGGTGGATGCCTGGGCCTGGAGGGAGCAGAACCATGGTCTGGATCTGTTGATGCATGTTCCTGGAGATGCATGTTCCCAGCCACAGCCACCTCTGGAGTCCAGGACCAAGGTGACATGGAAGGATACTGGAGCTTGGTGTAGCTGCTTGCTGGGATTTCTTCCTCTTTTCTTCAGATCACAGGGTAGATGGGCTTTTCCCTGGCTTCAATGCAAGCAGAGTTGTGTGCTGCTGAAATCCAGGGACCTCCTTCCCATGTGCAGCCTGTCCTCTCATATCCTTGCAATTTATTTGGCTCGTGAAGTTCTAACAGACTTCATTAATGACCTGATTTTGTTGTGCCTATAGAAATTGGCTAATGTATTTGGGCTACTAGCGTAGCAATAAATTGCATCCTCTGAATGTGCTTGACTGTTTAATTTGAATTTAATATAGCAGTTAATTTGAAAATGCGAAACAAGTTCTGGGAAATGTGCTTAGAGAAATAACTCAAACCCACGTGTAGATCCTGTTGCTGTAGCCTGATAGTGTTGCTAATTACTGACTTTTCTCTTTTTTAAAATAATTTATATTTGGCTGCTTTTATATGTTGTGTCAAAGTCTTGTGGGGCTGGGTTTGTCCACACTAAAAGGAGTTTTGGAAGTGGCATGTCTTCTGTTACACTCAGCCTTTCTGATTCTGTGTAGGTTAATCTTGCTCTGTGTAGATCTGTGGCAAAACAGCTAGAAATGTTAATCTGCCAAAAACTGTTTGGTGTTCAAATTAGAAATCCAACCTCAGTTAATCCCTTGGATATCTATAGACCTGGCTCCTCTTAACCATGTCTCCAGCCAGAACAAAAAAGACCATTTTTTCCAAGCCAAGTACACCAAAACTGTGGAGTAGGAGCTCTCAGTAAGGTGCTAAACTGGAATATGCTGGGTCAGGGCTTGGCTGTGCTGCATTGGTTGTAGGACTGGAATATGCTTGAGCACAAAGGGATTTGCCAGACCTTAGCCGGATGTTGGCTCTTCATGCTCTTTGTGCTCTTCACCCTCTCTGCTGCTTCATGGGACTTTTCCATGGTGCAATTCCATCTTCACCAAAAACCATTTGGAACTATTGAGTCAGATGGATGTACTGCTGGTAACCCTAAGCAGTTTAGATGGCTAAAATGATGGCTACTTGTATAATTTTAAATTAAACTCCTGTTCATCTAAATGTGAACATGTTATTTATACATCAATGTTTGCTGCCAATTGTTGCACAGTATTTATACAGTATCTTTTCATTGCATCATGTCCTTATTGGTGATTCTTTATGATGCTGAATGCCTCCTTACATTATTTCAGACCATGAGCAATAAGGTGATAATAAAGATTTGCACAGATAAACTCCCTCACATGTTCCTTTTGAGAGGATGAAAAAAATGTGGAAGGATTTCTATTTGAGTTAACACATGAATGAGAGAGAAATTAAGGGAAGTTCTTCAGAACAGCCCTAATGCCTGTAGTATTTACAGGTCTTAGAGCTTCCTGAGACACAGCGGTGAGATTCAAACACCCTTCACTTTTCCTGGTCTTGCCTTCTTTCGAAGAACTGACAGGAGCAGGCAGAATGATCCCACCCTCTATTTGGGGAGGGTCAGCAGTGTGCTTCCCTGAGGAGCTGTGGGAGCCTGGCTTACCCAGAGGGAAGATCAGCAAATGTGTAGGGCAGGAGCATGGCACGGGGGAAGATCACAACAGATGTCTGGAGCTGAGAAGAAGCCTTCTGTACTGCGGCTGTTGTGTTGTCACAGTGGCATTTACAGTGTCACTGCCGTGCTGTGGTAGTATTCTGTGGACACTCATCGACCAGTGCTTGCCAGGCTCAGTAAATTCTCTGGAGAAGCCTCTGACATTTTGAAAGGTTTGTGCCAGGTGACCTGAGCACTCTCCTGCCCTGTGGGAATCACCATGGAACAGAGTGCTGTCGTCAGCCCATGCCATTGAGGTACTGGTGCCTCTGAAGCCACCCGGATTATACTGTGGTCTTTGGTGAAACAGGAAAAAGAGAGAGGAGTACAAAGGCTTATCATTGGCATATCATTATTTTTAGTCCGTGTGTTGCTGAAGTGCGAGACTCTGGCCCTCCAGTTATCCAGGGTGGTAACTTTTTTTTGCTGTCATTCCTCTCATTCCTCTATATCTTCCTGCAGCTCTTTCAGACCAGCTAGCACTGCCAGCACAGAGATGCATCAACAAACACATCAGTGCAGCCACAGACAGAGTGACAATAAATGCAGGATCTGACAGAAACACTCATGACGGGTTTTTAATTCGTAGGTCTCACTGCTGGGCTTTTGTCTGTAGTTGTGGTTCTGCCTTGTTCCTCCACTTACCCAGCCAGGGAAGGGGAGAGGTTTCATGAGGTGGGAAATGCTGCAGGCTGCAGTGAATGCTGTATTCAGACCTAGTTGTGGGAGGAATTATCTAGAAGACACCACTGAAAGAAAGGGATGGGGTCTCTTGCTTAGAACAGACAGGATTTGCAGTTTGCTGGAGGACAGGAGCTGGACAACACATATTGGCTTAGTTGTAGCCTGGATGTTGGTGGCCACGGTGGGATGCCAGTACCAGGATGCATGTACTTATGGTGTGACTTAAGCTGTCTGTTCTTTTGTTGTGAGCAACTTTATTTTTTCTGAAGTGTGTTTCCTTGGAAATGCAGAAACTGAAATTATGTTACTAAGAACTTGCTCTTCCAGGACAGCATCAAAGCCAGAAGCGCTGCTGCTCTGCAGTATGGCTGCAGAGAATTTTATCACCTTATCCCTGTGATCCTCAGATGTGGTTCAGTTTTTAGGCTGCAGAAGAAATCATGGATCCCAAATTTCCATTTCCACAGGGCAGAATGTAGAATACAATGTGGAATATATGGGTTCGTAATTTCCCCAGGGTTATTTCTCCTTTCTTGTTCTCCCATGAGCTCAAAGTCAAACCTTGTATTAAGTAATGTAAAAGAAGTGGCAGTTAGATAAAGCTATTTGGATTTATCTCCTGTGCTGCAAGGTGTTAATCTGGGTGGTTAGGCATTTACACCAGGCATTGATATTGCTTTGAGGGAAGGATTTTTGTGCTTTTCATTAAAGCATTAGAACAGTACAAAATAGAGAAGGAAGAGAGCTTTTGGGTTTTCTAAGTCCTCAACAGTGCAAGATTGTTCCCTGTGGTATTCCCTAATGCTTCATCCTGGCTACTCTGAAATTACCTAGGCTAGAGAGACAGATCATTAGTAGACTTCTGAATTTCAGCTAATGAATTAGGTGAACTGAATGCTTTGGATCCAAAACACTGAAATTTAAAAAATCACAAGTCAGTCTTAAAACACAAGAAGCACCCCAATGACAGTGGTTAACCCAGCATTTTCTGGGTGGTGTGGCATGGTCTATTCTATTTTAAAGGGCAAAACTGCTGCCAGTATTGCTGTTCCCACTGTGTCAGAGCCAGGACATCCTTGGACCTTCCCCCTGGAAAAGCAGAGCATCCCCAAGCATCTCTGCAACTCCACAAAAAAGAAATTTATAACTATGATGGAAGTGACATGATTTTACTTATTAATCGCGATTGCCACTGAATTTTTATGTGCACTGTAGAGTCTTGCCTTCAGTATTATGATGGAGACAAGCTAACGCGTAGGATAATTGTTAAGTTTTCGTTCAGGCATTTTATTGACATACTGTATTTGAAATGCAGCTGCAGACGAGCAGGCATGTTATTCTAAAGAACAGTTTTGACTGGCTGAGTGGATTGGGTTTGGCAGAGAGGTGATTTTGCAGTCTGCCTCTCGTTTGGTTGTCAGATGACAGAGAGAAATGCAGAAGTTGCAGAATGAGCAACTGCTCCCCAAAATAAATCAATTCTTGTGTCTGCTGAGGGTCTCAGGGATGGGGTTGAGCTGGTGCCTGGATTACAAATGAGCCTTTGCAGCAGAGCAGAGCCCCTGTGGCCCAGCAGCAT